GATGTCACCAAAGCTGGGAGCGCCCCCCGCATCGTGGTGGCATCAGGTGAAAGGAGGGCGCGCGGGCGCGATTTTTGATGCCCCAACGGCCGCCTGCGCTCGTCGCCCACGGGGCCTTGTGCCCTGCGGCCGCCGGCAGGCGCCCTCTCCGCAGCGTGCCGCCTGGGCGCGCGCCGCGATTTTACATGATGGTGCAGCCGGCGAATCGCATGCTTGCGCGGGCGCCTGCTTGGCGCGCTCGTGAATGTCCGCCCGCCCGGCCTCCTGGTTCGCACCTCGGCAGCGTCTGCTTCGGAGGATCAGCTTGCAAGTTTGGGCTAGTTCTTCTTGGCCATGTTGATCTTGCCCTTGTGCTGCTGGGCCAGGTCCGCGCGGGCTAGTTCTTCTTGGCTGTTGATCTTGCCCTTGTGCTTGCCCGCGGGGCCCGCAGCACAAGGGCCAGGTCTTGCCCTTGTGCTGCGGGCCCCGCGGGCAAGCCTGGTCACGGGGGAGACCCATCGGGGGGATCGGGGGCCAGCCCCGCGGGTTCGCCGAGGGCGGCGGCGGAGGTTTCCGAATCGCGATAGCTTTAAGGCGGTAGAGCTTCCCATAAAAACGCGTGAGCACGGGAAAGTGGGCGGTGGTGGGCGAGACGCACTCCATGCTCATGGCATGTCCACCTCTGGCCAGCCCGCTCGAAACAAGAAAATGGTGGTAGTTCTCGAGGACCTCGCTACGTGTAGGCGAGCAAGTGCCAGAACCTGCCGAGACCACCTGCGCCTCGAGCTGACCAAGATATGCATCGCGCCTTGGAGATGTCAAGGGACGCAGGGTCGATCCTTTCCTGGCTGAGCAGGTAGTTTCTATATATATATATATGATTTCCGCAGTCCTGGCCCGTAGAGCTGCGCAGACGCTCGGCTATATCAGCCGAACAAAATGAGACAGCATCTGACTGGAGCGTGGCCCCCCGCCAGCATCGCCCATCAGCTTAGGCGGCGCTGCCGCAGGGGATCACCTGGTGAGAAGCTTGGGCACGGGCTCATGGAGGTCTCGCGCTCCTCCTTCCAATTCACGTTCACGGGCGTCGTCTCCTGGGGCAGGGGCTTGGATGTGCGCCGCACTGCTCGGCTCACCGCTACTGGCGGCTTTCGCAGCAGCGCCAGCGCCAGCACTTTGTGGAGCGTTTGCGACCGTGTCAGGCTTAGCCTGCGAGCCGTCTCCTTCTTGCGAGCGGTGTCTTCGACAGGCAGCTCGTAGGCTGGCTCGTCGGTGGTGAATACGCTGTCCGCGTTGGTGAAGTCCTTCGCTTCGATTTTGCCCGAGACCATGTCCTCGATGTTAATGTGACGAGGTACGCCAGCATCAGGGGAAACGGTGATGACGTCTCCCAGCGTCTCGACCACCGCCCAGTTCCCAGGGGCGCCCGCACCACTTAATTCCCAACGTCAAGTTCTTCTGCAGGCCGTGCTGCTCGCAACGCCAGCGCCGACCTTTGCACACTCTTTCGCCCTGCTGGAGGGGGGTGGCTCGACTTCGCTTCGCGGCTGTCGGACCCATGGCGCCACTGGCCAGCGCGCAGCGTTAGTCCACCACGAAGACCGGGACTGCTTCTAGTCATCCTTGTCGCCCATGGTGAAAGGAGGGCTGCTGGAAACGTCGGTGGATGAGGGCAAGCCAAAACGGTTCTCACACGCAATGCTGTTCTGATATTGGCGTGTGCAATGCCATTTTTTCGTACAGCAGCCAGTAGGAGGGGGATAGGGAGGGGGGAGGGAAAATACGGAAGTACGGAGGATGCAGGATGAAGGATGGATGGACGAGAGGCACGAGGGAGGCGCGAGAGAGGATGGGGATGAAGCGGTCCAGGGGGAGCAGAAACGGAAGGAAGACCAGTCGGAGGAAGAGGATGAGGAGTGGACACGATGATGATTCTCATGATGACAATGATACTGCTGATGATGATGCTGATGCTGATGCTGATGCTGATGCTGATGATGCTGATGATGCTGATGATGACGATGCTGATGATGATGCTTCTGCTGCTGCTGATGATGATGGTGGTGATTACGATGCTGATGCTGATGCTGATGCTGCTGCTGATGATGCTGCTGATGATGATGGTGGTGATGGTGATGGTCAAAACCATGATGTTGAAGGTGACGGTTGCGGTGGTCGTGGTACTCTTAGTGACCAGGGACGACCGTCATGATCAGGCCAATGATGATTATCGTGAGGCTCCTCTTTGTGACGATTGCGAGGGCTGAGTATGATCGGAAAGAGGGTCAAACTCGAAAGGATGCGGCCAATTTTCATGGTGATGATAATGCTGCTGATGATGATGATGGTTGTGGCGAGAGTGAGGATGGATGTGAGTCAAATTTTGATCATGAGAATGACGAGGCCGATGGCGGCGGCGACGACGACAACGACGATGATGATGATGATGATGATGAGGATGATGTTGGTGATGACGATGATGATGATGATGATGATGATGATGATGATGATGATGATGATGATGATGATGATGATGCTGACGACGATGATGATGATGACGACGATGATGATGCTGATGATGACGATGATGCTGCTGCTGCTGGTGATGATAGTGATGGTTCTGGCGATTAGGCTGATGAGAGTGAGGATGGATGTGAGTCAGACTTTGATTATGATAATGACGAGGACGATGCCGGTGGCGGTGGCGACATCGACGACCACGATAATGATGGCGATGACGATGACGATGATGATGATGATGCTGATGATGATGATTACGACGATGCTGATGATGATGCTGATGCTGCTGCTGCTGCTGCTGATGATGATACTGACGACGACGATGATGATGCTGCTGATGATGATGATGATGATGCTGATGCTTATTGTTACCATTATTATTATTGTTATTATTATTGTTGTTATTATTATTATTATTATTAATAATATTATGACTATTATGATTAACATTATTATTATTATTCTGATGCTGGTGATGATGATGACGATAATGATGCTGCTGATGATGCCAATGATGTGGGCGCAGATGATGAGGAGGAACATGACGAGGAGGAGGAGGACGAGGAGGACGGCGGAGGCAGAGGAGGAGGAGGAGGACGAGGAGGAGGAGGAGGAGGGGAAGGAGAAAGAGGAGGTGGAAGAGGAGGAGGAGGAAGACGATGAGGATGATGATGGCGAGGAGTTGCAGGATGGGGAGGGAGAGGACGAGGACGATGAGTGGGAGGATGGAGCAGTACTAGAGGGATTAGGTGGATGGCGGTGTCTATGGTGCTTGCGATGGTGGTGCTGCTGTTGTGAATGCTGATGCTGCTGCCGATGATGGTCTTGGTGCTGATGCTACTGGTGATGCTGCTGCTGCTGCTGCTGCGTGGGTGATGCTGATGCTGCTGGTGATGGTGTGCATGGGGGCGGTGGTGACTATTATGGCCATGAGCCGTAACCATCGTCTTGCATAGTGTTTATGGTGATGCTGTTACTGGTGGTGGTGGTGGTGATGATGATGCTGATTCTGGTTGTGATGCTGACAGTGGTGATGATGACGATGATGGAAAGGATGAAGACGATAATGAGGGCGAGTACGCGGATAAAACGAGGACGAAGATGTCGATGGCGATGATGATGATGATGATGATGATGATGATGATGATGATGATGATGCTGATGATGGTGATGCGTATGATGAGAATGATGATGCTAATGATTATGATGATGGTGGTGACGATGATGGTGATGATGATGACGATCACGATGATCATGAGGCTAATTACTAATAGGAGCATGAGGCTGACGATGAGGGCGACGGCGCGGATACTGATGTCAACGATGATGCTGCTGCTGATGATGATTATGTTTCTGATGCTGATGATGATGTTGATGATGATGGCGATGGTAATGATGTTGGTGATGATGATGGTGATATTGATAGTGATTGTGGTCGTGATGGTTATGATGTTCATGTTGATAGTGATGACACTTCTTCTGCTGCAGCTGATGATGATGCTGAGTCTGATGATCATGATGACGATGCTGCTGATGATGATGATCGTACTGGGGATGAGTATGGCGATGATAATGATGGTGATGATGATGGTTAGGATGGTGATGATGCTGATGATGATGACGCGGATGAATATGATGATGCTGATGATGCTGATGATGATGGTGTTTATTTTACTGGCGATGATGGTGCTGATGATGATTCTGATCATGACAAGGATGCAAACGATGATGCTGATGATGATGATGCTGATGATGACGATGACGCTGCTGTTGATGATGATGGGGATGGTGATGATGATGCTGATGATGATGATGATGATGCTGATGATGATGGTGGTGGTGGTGATGCTAATGGTGATGATGATCATCATCATGATCATGATATGGAGATGATATGATGCTGATAATGATGACGATGACGATGATGATGCTGCTGATAATGATGATGCTGCTGATGATGATGCTGATGCTGATGCTGATCCTGATGCTGATGCTGATTCTGCTGCTGCTCCTTCTGCTGATGATGTTAGTGACGATGATGCTGCTGCTGATGATGATGATGATGCTGATGCTGATGCTGATGCTGATGCTGATGCTGATGATGATGATGATGATGATGATGATGATGATGAGGAGGAGGAGGAGGAGGAGGAGGAGGAGAGGAGGAGGAGATGAGGAGGAGGAGAGGAGGAGGAGGAGGAGCAACGAGGAGGAGCGAGAAGACAGGTTTGAGGAGCGTGGAGAGTGGAGGGAGGAGTGCGCTGTGAGAAGAACAGGGGGGACGGATGAAGGGAGGGAGGAGTGAAGGAGGGAATACGCGTTTCTCCTTGTGAGGAGGAGGACGACGAGGAGGAGTAGGAGGAGGAGGAGGAGGAGGAGGAGGAGGAGGAGGAGGAGGATCAGGAGGAGCAGGAGGAGCAGGAGGAGCACGAGTTGCGTGGAGCGTGGAGGGAGGAGGAGAAGTGTGAAGGGAGGAGGGGGGAGAGGGAACGCTGCGGCAGGCGGGCATCGAGCCTGGCGCCGCGGCTGCGGACCTGGAGGCGCGGCTGGCGGCTTCGCTCGGCGCTGGCGAGGCCTCGTCTCCGCCGCCGATAGTCGCCATCGTCGTCGTCGTCGTCGTCGTCGTCGTCGTCGTCGTCGTCGTCGTCGTCGTCGTTGTCGTTGTCGTCGTCGTCGTCGTCGTCGTCGCCGTCGCCGTCGCCGTCGCCGTCGCCGTCGCCGTCGCCGTTGCCGTCGCCGTCGCCGTCGCCGTCGTCGGACCTCTCCGAGCCTGGGGGGGGGTCCCTTGAGGAAAGCTCCCCAGGATGCCGGTGCCACGGCAGACTGGGTGCGAGTGGTCGCGGCCGGCGAGGGCGGCGCTGGCGCCCCGCAGGAGAGGAGATGGAAGGAAGGGGGGGTGCAGGACGCCCAGACGGGACTGGAGCAGGCGGGCCGGAGGATCGCACCGCATCGCGAGCGTATCGGCGACGCGGTGCGACCGGAGCCCGCCCTCTTTCCATCCCGACGTCTCCGATGCACAGGCGACGCATCCTTCGACCCATGTGCTGCGGCCCCTTGTGGGCGGCCTCTAGGGGGGGGGGGCGGGAGGGAGAAGCAGGAGGGAGGGCAGAGGAGGCTAGAGTGGGAGGGGGAGGGGGGGGGGTGAGGAGGGAGAAATACCCAGAGGAAAAAAGAGGATGACGATTAATGATGATGATGATGCTGCTGATATTGACGATGATGTCGATGCTGCTTCTGCTGATGATGATAGTCATGATGATGCTGATGATGATGATTATAATGATGATGATCATCATGGCGATAATGATGATGACGATGATGATGATGACGCTGATGATGATGAGGGTGTTCAAGATGCTGATGCTGATGCTGATGCTGGTGCTGATGCTGCTGATGATGACGATGACGACGACGATGATGATGATGATGGTGCTGATGATGATTAGTATAATTATTATTGTTATAGTTATCGTTATTCGTATTGCGATGATGGTGGTTCTGCTGATGCTGGAACGGATGCTGATGGTGACGCTGTTGCTGTTGATGATGATGATGGTGATGACGACGATGATGACGACGATGATGATGCTGATGCTGATGTTGATGCTGATGTTTCTGCTGATGATGCTGATGTTGTTGATGATAATGGTGACGATGCTTATGTGATGTTATTGTATGTGATTTTATGTTGTGTCATGCCATGTTGTGTTATGCCACGACATGCTATGTTATGTCATGGTTTGCGATGTTTTTTTTTTTGTAGGTTCTGGTATAATATGGTATGTTATGCTATGCTATGACATGTCAAACTGATGATGGTGATGATGCTGATGATGGTGGGGGCGATGATGATGCTGATGCTGACGATGATGATAATGATGATGACGATGAGATGATGATGCTGATGATGATGGTGATGATGATGCTCTTGATGATGATGATGCTGATGATGATGATGATGATGTTGATGCTGATGATGATGATGATGATGATGATGATTATGATGCTTCTGATGATGATGATGATGATGATGATGATGATGATGATGGCGGTGGTGGTGGTGGTGATGCGAATGGTGATGATGATGATGATGATTATGGTGGTGGTGGCGGCGGTGGTGGTGGTGGTGATGGTGATGGTGATGGTGATGATGATGATGATGATGATGATGATGATGCTGATGATGATGATGATGATGATGATGATGATGATGATCATGATGACGATGAGGATGATGTTGATTATGATGCTGCTGATGATGATGATGATGATGATGATGATGATGATGATCATCATTGGAAGGATGACGCCAAATGGGCCCTCAAACTGTGACTGCTCAGCTTTTCTCTGCCTGGCCCCGGGACGTGTCGAACGTCTCCTGGACCCCACCCTCGGCGGACGGTGGCCAATGTGGTTCAGAAGGAGCAGAGCAGCCAGGGGGGAGGACGAGGGCTCCGCGGCCTTGAAGTCGACGCCAGCACAGGGTCCCGTGGCTCAAGCGAGAACGCTGCACCATGCGGATCCAAGCAGGACTCGTCTTCGATGAGAACGCAATAATTCAGGATTCCTCTTCTACTCCTCTTCCTCCTACGGGCCCCCTGCGCGGAGTGTTTTACTAAATCGACTTGCCAGGGTGCCAATCGGTATCGCTGGGCGTTCCCCCGCCCCTCGGGAATGAATTCAGCGACCTGAGTGCTATTGATAGCCGCGAAAGGTCTTTAACTTTGGCCCCCCCCCTTCTCTCTCGGCGGTGAATCAGACTGGTCGACTGGTCCGAAAACCTCCTCCTCATCCTCCTCCTTCTCCCTCCTCCTCTTCCCCCTCCTCGTAGCTGTCGTCGTCGTTGTTGCGCGGCGGGTGCCGCGGAACAAATCATTAGTTACCTCCTATTAGTGGGACCCCAGTCCTGCAATGAGGCCGCCGAAAATAGGATTAGTTACCCCCCCTATTGGGGGGGTATCTAAAGAGCTTTCACGGTCAGTGCTGGGGGGGGGATCGATACTTGCATCTCACATTTACACCTCTTGGTGCGATGCCGACTGTCTGCCCCACCCATCAGGGGCAACGATAGGGGGGGATGAGCACAGGGGGGATGCATCGACCCCCAATCGCCTACTGATCGCCGATGGGCCCCTATAGCCCCAACCTACCCAGCAACACGCGGATTCACGGTCGTGGACCTATCGCCGATCTATCGGCCATGTATCGCCGATTCCAGGCCGATGTGTCCCCCCTGCAGTCGGACCGAGGTATAAGATCGAGGGTTGGATGTTCTTTTGCATCCTGGGGAGGGTACCCGTGGATGTTCTGTTCGCTTTGGCCGCCAGAGGGTCTCATGTTCTTGGAGGATGTTCTTCTGGACTCTTGGTCCGACTGTATGACAGGCCCTGCGGATAGCAGCAGCTCGTACTGCCGCACCGCAGCATTGCAATCGGGGCGGCTCTCGACGCGACCGACTGCTTGACGGCTTGCTATCGCCACGAGGGCGGAGCATCCATCAGCAGGCGCTGACTGGGGCAACGGAGAGTGCGTGAGGCTTAGCACTGCACGCTGGAGGCCCCAGTCCCCCCCTTGTCGTTGCCCCTCCTCCTCCTCCTCCTCCTCCTCCTCCTCCTCCTCCTCCTCCTCCTCCTCCTCCTCCTCATTGCGGACGCTCCGCCTCCTCCTCCTCCTCCTCATCCTCCTCCTCAAGGCTATGCCCCCCCCCCAGCCCGAGGAGTACTACTGGGACCGCGCCTCGGGCAGGACGCAGTGGCAGCCGCCCCCGGGGCCGGTCGCAGGGACCGTGCTCGCCGGCAGCTCCGGGGCGACGTAGAGGCGCTCCGCTTCGGCTGCTCGTCGGCGAGCGAGGGGGGGAAACTCGACGAACGCGTTCCACTACTCGCAAAGTAACTGCTCGCAAATGGCCTGGATCCCTCGCGGGGGATCTACGATACATTATATCAAAGCAGACAGGTGATTTTTCGGACGCTTGTAAATAGGCACTTTGCGCGTAGTGGAACTCTCTCGGCGAGAAACGAGAAGGAGCAGGCCTTCTCACAAGGCGGTGGGACTTCTCAGAATCCCTCGCGCCTTCTGAGAGGTTCTTGGTGCCTTAGGGGAAGGCTCAGAGAATTGTTTACGCTTCGCGAGTCCCCACCAGCCCATTCAGAAGCCCTGCTCATGAGAGCTGCCAGGAAATGGAGAGAAGAGACACACATAGTGAAACAGAGAGTGCAAGGAGAGGAGAGGGGAGAGTGTTGAGCCATCTTGGAGGCTATCTTGGAGCATCGGAGGCCTTCTTGGAGCTAAGGGGCTGTATTGGGGGATATTGGGGTCCTCTTGGAGCTCTTTTGGGGCATCTTGGGGCCCTCTTGGGGCTCCTCGGGGGGCTTGGGGTCCTCTTGGGGCTCTTTTGGGGCGCCTTGGGGCGCTCATGTTGCCCTCTTTTGGCCTCTCTTGGGGCTCTCTTGGGGCCCTCTTGAGAGCTATGGAGCGCCTCCTGGGGCCATCTTGGAGACCATCCATCAACGGAGTGGGGGTCCTCGATTTGCCTTCCCCCTCTGCGGCCATCGGAATAGCCTCTTTGGGTGCTCTTGGGGCCCTCTTGGGGCCACCTTGGGCGCTCTTGGGGCAGTCTTGGGGGCCTCTTGGGCCCTTCTTGGAGCTCTCTTGGGCCATCTTAGGGCCATCTTGAGGCCTCAAGAGCGCATCGGAAGCGAAAAGGCGAGAAGACACAAATCAGTGATTTACCAAAGGTTTTGGAAGGATTTTGGCTTCTCGGGGAGGTCCTGAGGGGTCATCAGAAGCACCTGGAACCGTCTTGTGGCCCTCTTAGTGCCTCTTGGAGGCATTTTGTTAGCTATCTGGAACCATGTTGGGCTATCTTGAGCCATCTTGGAGGCTATCTTGGGCTATTTGAGGCCCTCTTGGAGCCATCTTGTGCTATCTTCGACGCCCTGGCCGCTCGCGACCCCCCCCGTCCAGGTCCGAGGGAGGGTGTAGGGGGAGGGGTCAAGCTAATTACCCACCCGCCCGCAAGCCGTCTAGCTCACTCCCACCAGCCCTCCCGACACATAAGTAACATCCTAGCCTGAGCATGTTCAGCGGTCGTCTTTGGATGGACAGCTACTGGAAACCAAAGCCGACCCCTGGTGCGCGACGCTTGGGCGAGGTGCGCCACGCGTGCCAGGGGCGCCACGCGCGCCAGGCACCCCTGGGGCTCGAGCGTGCCAGGCACGCCTGGTGCGCCAGCTGCGCCACGTGCTCCGAGTGCGCCAGGTGTGGCGCACACTCCAGCAGCGCCAGGTGCACCGCGTTTGGGGCACGTGCAGAGTGCGTCAGGTACGCCTGCGCACATGACAGCACACATCGGGAAACATGTCGGCCCCCGCCATCCTTGTCGAAAACCGATGCCCATCATTGTGTCTGGTGGGCCTGCGCACAGCAGGCCACGCGCCACCACGCCCGCCGTCCTTGTCAAACATCACCTGACAGTAATCGCGGGATGGCTGCGCATGATCCAGATTTAGCCGCGAGGTGCATTTGTTTTGTCAGGGATGGTATCCCCGCGCGCAGCAGGGAATATGCTGACACCCCCGCCGTCCTTGTCAACAACAACTCAAAGTGCTCGCGGGCCTCACGAGCATGACTCAAGAATTTCGCATTGTTTTTTGAGAGGGATGGTGAAGGGGCCGCATCGGGTTGCCCGCGCAAGCTCCAAATGTGACGAGAGTGCGATTGGTATTGTTTTTCGACAGGGATGGTGGGGGGCGGGTCGGCATGGTGTCGGCACGGTGTCGGCATGGTGCCTGGTTGGCCCCCGGTCGTCTGGGGGAGGGGGTGTATATTAATGAGGAACAGTGATCACCCTCTCCCCGAAGTTGGAAGAAGGGGTTGTGGAAGAGGAAACAACGACATCGTTTGACCACCTGTCGCCCAAAGGGCTGGTGGGACTTCTCAGAAGGCCAGGGGACTTCCGAACCTTCTGAGAAGACCCGCCCCCTTTGCATTTCCCACCCAGGCTCGCTGCCGAGCTTCAGTGGGTCCTTGAAACGACAGGGTCAGTTCATTACAGTTTTCAAGAGCGTGCTTCCTGAGCACGAGAAGCAGCAAAAGCAAATGTTGCAGTCAACCTGCACAGGACGGATGATCGACTTTCCGAGCTTACCCTTGCATCATTGCGTCCTCCCCCTTGGGCCCATCCTTGGCCGTTCTTGCTGGCCGCGCTCCGCCCGCAGAGTGTGGACATGGCCTTCCGAGGCCCTTGCATCCTTATAGTGCGTCCTCATTATCGGCGACGCCTACGGCGAATCACCGCCGCCCCCTGCCTTTTTGGACGCGCCTATGTGGCCGAACGTTGACGCCAGACCTATCGGACCACGTGTTCCCCGAATCGGTTCGGAAAGTCTTCGGGGAGCACGTGGGCATCTTGAAGGTCATCTTGGCCGTCTGGAGGCCATTTTGACCCTTTCGGGCCTTCTTGGAGGACGTCTTGGAGGGCTCTTGGGCCGTCTTGGAGGCCATCTTGAGCGTCTTGGAGGCCTCTTGGGCCGGCTTGGGGGCCTCTTGGGACCGTCTTGGGCCTCTTGGGCGATCTTTGGGGGCACTTGGGCCGTCTCGGGCCGTCGGAAGGCCGAGAAAAAGCAAATGCCACAATCCTTCAAAAACTCATGGGGAATCAATGATTTTGGCCTTTCCGGGCCTTCCTGGAGGCCTTCTTGGAGGCCTCTTGGGCAATCTTAGGGCCATCTTCGGCCGTCTTGGTGGGCTCCTGGCCCGTCTGACGCCGTCGGAAGCCGTTTGGGGGGCCTCTCTGGGCCGACTTGGGGCCCTCTTGGAATGCTCCAGGGCCGTCTTGGAGGCCGTCTTGGGCGTCTTAAAGGCCTCCTGGGCCTTCTGGGCCGTCTTGGGGGCCTCTTGGTCCGTTCTGGGGCTATTTTGGAGGCCTCTTGGGCGATCTTTGGGCGATCTTTGGGGGCTCTTGGGCCGTCTCGGGCCGTCGGACGGCCGAAAAGAAGCAACTGTCATGGTTTGTGCTTGCACGTGAAGGAAGTCAAGAGGGGTTTTCATTATGTCGCCCCTTTGGCTCTCTCACTTGCTTCACTTAGCTTCTCTGGTCCATAGTCGATGGACGGGGTCGCCATCCCTGGCGGGGCGGCCGCGTTGCCGGCCTGGGTGGTGCTGGCGCTGGAGGCCGCGGCCTACCTGGGGCCAGGGTGGGGCCCATGGCAGGCGGCCTGCCCTGACCTCTCGTGCCCCGCCTGCCCAGCGTGCCCAGAGGCGGCAGCCTGCCCTGAGGCCGTGGCTTGCCCGGCTTGCGAGCCGCCTCCCTGTGCGGCCTGCCCGGCCTGCGAGCCGCCTCCGTGTGCGGCTTGCCCGGCCTGTGAGGCGAGGGCGTGCCCGACGGTGACGGCGGGCGAGAAGGCGGTCGAGAAGCTGGTTGGAGCGCTGCTCGGAGGGGTGGTGCACTGGCTGGTGGGGAAGGTGATAGCCTGCAGGCATGTCGACGCTCGTGGGGTGGCTCCGCGGAGACGCGGGGCGGGAGTGGTGGACTAGAGCGCTCCCAGGGGAGCGCGTGGTCTGCCGGTTCTCTGACGACGAGGTCGACCACGAGCGAGTGCTGTTACACTACGTGGCAGAGGGTGAGTGGGTCATCCTGACCCCTGACGGTGACATCTACGCGGAGGACATGAGCTGTGAGAACCCCGAGACGGGGCCTTCTCGGGCCTTCCCGCCGGCGCTGCGGACGCGGAAGATGCGGAGGCTGTATCGCTTCCGAGAGGCCCTGGGGCCCGACGAGCTGGCCGACGCGCTGACACGGGGCCGGCAGGCGGCGCTGGAGATAGACGCCGCCCTGCCCGAGCCGAGGGAGGCTGTGGCCGTGAGCGGCCAACGGGTCTCGTGGCAAGAGGCTTCGGGCAGGCTGTCGGCCGCGGAGCGGGCCAACCTGCTGCGCTTGGGCATGGCCGTGGCTCGCTTGGGCGGGAAGCTTCTGGAGGCTCCTGTGGCGGGTCAGGCCTGGATCGCCCTCAGCGGCGGGCCCGGCATCGCGGTCGGGGCAGAGGTCGACGTGGCGGACGGCGAGGGCCTGAGCTTCGAGGGCGGGCCTGAGCCTTTCGGCGTGCTGAGGACCTCCGACGGCAGCATGGTGCGACTCGCTCGGCTGGACGCTGGGGCAGCCCCTGGGCGCGTGAGCGAGGAGGCCGCGGTCTGGCAAGACCTGGGCAGAGGCCATGCCCGTGCCACGGGCCCCGAGCGCCGACGCGCTGAGGCCGCGGGGCCATTCGAGGATGATGGGCCCGCTGAGCCTGTCGGCGGCACGGCTACGCCCGAGCTGGCGCTGCCTCCCGTGGCGGAGCCGCTGGGGGAGGAGAGAGACGCCGACGCCCGCACGCTCTGGGTCGACTACGACGAGCAGGGCGAGCGGTTCAAACGATGGCGGGACGTGGTAGGTGAGTCGAGGCAGGAGCACTACCCGGACGCGAAGGTGGACGGACCGCCGGGGGCTCTCCACATGCTGAAGCACATGGAGAGGCACGGAGGCGACCCGCGGCTCTGGCTCGACCTCTTCATCCGCATGACGGGCCTGGGTCAGAATGACCGCGTGGTGCACGAGCTGAGGACGATCGTGGAGGCTTTGTACCAGGGCGGGGTATACGATCAGCTGAACATGGGCGGCCTCATGATGGTGGAGGTGTTGACTCGCCGTGTCGCCGCTGTGGTGGATGCCTACTCGGACCCGACCAAGCCGAGCTGGACGAACGCACGCTTCTTCGAGGGCGTGAGCTCGGTGGAAGACGTCTCGGGGCCAGAGCTCAGGGGCTGCGTCCACCGGCGGGCGAAGGAACAGCATGAGATAGAGCAGGCGCAAGGTCGGGCGCGTACGCT